TAGTCTATTTAGCACTATATTAAAAGCTATTTGATTCGTTTTTTTTTAACTTTTGAAATCGGGCTATAAATAAAAATTCTACCTGCCGTTTAAAAATCACACTGTATACTGTATCGAAAAATAATTACTTTCTAGATTATTCTTTACGTTTTTCTTTAGTTTCTTTTCTAGATTATCCTAAATTCTTCTTTTGCTTTCTCATAATTTTTTTAATTGATTAGATTTTGTTTGAGACCACTTTTAAAAAATTATTAAAAGAAATTAAAAAAAAATAAGAAAAAAAATAAATAAAAAAAAATTAAAATTAAAAATAAAAATAAAATAATAATAAAAAAAACACCTTGATTGATGTCGTTTTCCTCGTCCAAAACTTGGATATTGCAGTCACTATCTAACCCCACAAAAGCATAATTGATGTGGGTGCACAAATCGGGGTTGATGTCTTCGGGGACGAATTGGCCATTTCCGGGCCTCTGGGCCCCCCAACTGGCGTAATAACAAATCACTTTATCTAAAAAATCAAAAAAAAGGAAATATGGAGTGAGAAAAGTGACGATTACAGACCTGTTGCTGCATGAATTTGGGTTGTTGTGAGTGCGAAAAAGAGGAGAATTGCAAATTTTGAGGACATTTTGTTGAGGTTCAGGTGCACACTCAAATGACTGTTTCGAGGTGATTTTTTTAATAAATAAAGTTAAAAGGCACTTGAGTGATATCACAAGGATTTTGTGTGAGTGTTTTATCACACAAGTGTTCTAAAAATTGTTGTTATTGAGTTATTATTGTATCAAGATATCTAATTAAGGACTCAAAATATGTTATTGTGTAAAAAAAATATAAAAAATAATACATCAACTGAAAATTGAGTTAAATTTGCTTATAATTAGAGAAAATAGGAAAGAAGATAAAAAAAAAATCTAAAGAAAAGTCTAGAGATGACAAAAAATAATAAATTTTTAAAGAATTAAAAAAAATGTACAGAGTGCTGTAAAATTTTTATTTATGGCCAGATTTTGAAGATTAAAAAATAAATTAAATGGCTTTTTATATACAGGGTGTTAAAAAAAATGTAAAATATTTTCGGACCAAAACAAACAAAAAAGTTTTAATAAACATGAATCCCCAAAGATTATTCGTTTTTTCATTTATTTGCAGTCTGTTTAAACACAAAAAAGAAGGTTGCTGACAAATTTAGGATTTTTCTAAATGTTATGTTTTTTTTAGTTTTCTTGGTACAGGTGTGCAATATGTTCTACATTTACTAAAAATTATTGTTCAAAAAATTGGCAAAATTAAAAAAAAATTATAAAAGTTTATAAAAATAATTGCATAGTGTCAATATAATAAATTGACGTTGACATAATCTTATGAAATTATACCCTCTAGATTATACTTATCTTCTTCTTTAGATTCTTTTTTAGACACATTTTCAAATTCTTTTTTGG